CACTGTCCATCTCAGTGTTTTAAGTAAGGCCCTTGCTAATAATAATAATAATAATAATAATTATTATTATTATTATTATTATTATTATTATTTTTGAGATGAGTTATATTTCCTGAAAAAAAAACAACCCTATCCTCAGTTACTAGTTTAGAAATATTTTTTGGGGTAATAAGGTATAAATTGTTTTCCAACTCTAGCACACATTTTCAAAAAGCAGTGACAATGATGAAAAAAAGTAACACTTACTGCTGGCCTGGGTATAGGTTTCTGTGGTTTCTTGGAGCCCAGTTTTTTCATTGCATTGTAATATTTTTTCTGTTCTTCTGTCATAAAGATGTCTTGACCTCCAAAGTAAAACAAGGAAACAAAAACTAGTTACAACCAGATATTTCCATTCTCTTTTTCTCTCTCTTTTTCTATTTTCTTTTATTTGATGGATAATCTCTTTTCTTGGGCTGCCTATTAATAAGGCCAAAGCAGAGCTATGGCCAGGTACAGTATTTGATCTCAGCAAAGATACGACAGACCGAAACAGTATAGTTACTGGTCTATATCAGCACTGCCATCTCCATCTCTCTCGTCGTCATCATCATCATCATCATCATCTATCAAATTTCTGTCTGAATTCCCAGCAGCTTACAACAAAATAAAAATAGAATAAAATAAAAACATCCATAATAAAAAAAAACAACCCAAATATAATAAAACATCCAAGGTACAAAATAAATAAATGAACAATTGAAAAAAAATACTTCTCAGCTCTCATAACACAAGGACCCTCAAACAACTAAAAAAATCCAAAGCCAACATTATAAAATGAAAAACATAATAAAAAAGATAATTATGGAAAAAGATCACATCCCAAATGGCCTCTAGAAGTGTTCACCCTTCGCTAGCTTCCAGAAAGCCATTACCAAGGGTAACTATTTATTATTTAGATTTATAAGACCCTTATGTATATTTATATGAAGTAGTAAATTATCTTACATATAATTGCTTATATCTCCCTCCTTTAAAACTAATTGATGGTGGAAATCTTTCAATTCATTTCTACATATTTGGTTTTAACATACCATATGCTCCTTTTTACATTGGCAATTTTAGAATTAATGTTTATAATTTATTTTTAGGAAGTACACACTGGAATAATTCTTCTATGAGAAAGAAAGAAAGAAAGAAAGAAAGAAAGAAAGAAAGAAAGAAAGAAAGAAAGAAAGAAAGAAAGAAAGAAAGAAAGAAAGAAAGAAAAAGAAAATCAGAAGAATTACACAAAGCATAATGTTAATAAAGAATAAAACCCTTGACAGTCTGCTGAGATCACAGTGATAGAATACTTATCTTCTTTTTTTGCTGATTGAAGTTATCTATGATGACACCAATAAATAAATTCAAAGTGAAAAAGGATCCAAAGATTATAAAGATGACAAAATAAAGATACATATAAAGGTTATCCTCATAATGTGGCTGTTGTTCCACCTGCGAGGTAAACAAATTTTTAAATGGAAAACTGTGTGGAAAAAATACATTCAATCATATAAAATTGATGGATGTTATTTTTATGAAGTGTGAGTCTTAGGGCCAATCTTTACCATATTTAGTCTTTATCTGATACAGTTATTAAGAACTGTCATAGAGCAGGGTTTGACCAATTTTTATTTTAACTTTATATATCCACGTACAATTATTCAGCTGAAGCATTCTGGCTTGCCCCACACAGGGCATTTATCTTCTTAGTAATTACTCATTTTTCTCTATTTGCTTCCCCCTCTGAAGTCCATTGATGCAGATTTCACCCTAGAGTACATGGCTTTGGCTAATAGACAATCAAGGTGCTTAGAGTCAAAGAAATAGCTGAAAAGAAAGAGACATTCTGAGCTTAGGAGAAAGTGAGAAGAAACCAAAAGGAAATGAATGAAACAGCACTTTCTTGATGAGTCGGAGGGCCTACCTACATATTCTGCCAATATTGCCGCTTGCAATATGTCAGTGTATCTAAAAAGTGTTAGCTTTAGGCATGTTACAACAGCTTTTTATTGAGACCAGTCGTTGGGAAAGGAGATTTACTGCTTTCTTGGAAAACAGTAATCTCACCAAAAATCCCCTTCATTTTCTGTGCTGCAATTTCAAAGGAGGAGGAGGAGGAGGAGGAGGAGG